TAATCCAAAAGTTTCTATCTACCAATCGCCATTTTAAAGCGTTTACTAGATTTTTTATCGTGATCTGGCCAATTGATCACACTCACGGAATTTTGAACATATTCAACATAAGACAGAGAGTAGAACTGTACTGCAGCATACGTTTAGTTATTATTGGTCATCACTAAATAGCACCGACTAAATTCATCGGTATTATGAAAGAGGACACTGTGTTCTAACGGTATACAGGGAAGTAAGTATTTATTTAAACAGTTTACGCACAAAATAATCAAATCTACACGCAGCTAGTAAACACGTCAACGCATCGATCGCAAATAAATATTGTGTGGAATAATGAAACATTCTAGTTTTCTAAAATTGATATTACAGTATGTAGTGCGTGAATCAAGAGCCCAACAGGAGCTCGACTGAAAGTTAACAACGAAGGCTGGTAGATCGTTAGAGAGTAAACAAATCGTAGATCGCCATGCTGGTGAACTATTTCACCCTGGATCCAAGTTCATTATGCTTCTGCCAAAGGCAATGCTGGCTGCTCATTTAAGTACCTTTGATCTTCTGTGGCAGTTTCTTAACTTTACATTACTTGGGGGTAAATGAATATAAAATACTTCGAAACTAATTTGAGTACAAACAATTCAGTAAAATCAAGATATCGACAAAGGCAACAAGTTATTCATGTATATGTTTAAATTAATCCGTGACGTAGAAGCTTACCTGTCGCCAACCATAATAGTCTGCTCAGGATTTATATTTCGAGTTTCAACAATATAGTCGAAAATGGGTTTGTGGGGCTTCCCCAAAACTACCGGCTCTTTGCCGGATGCAACGCGGACGGCAGCGACCAAGGAGCCGGTACCTAGAGCAGAAGAGGGTGGATAAATTTATGTAGAATAAATTTCTTGCAAAAAATTAAAATAGGCAAATATTAGATAATCACGATCCTTGAAAAAAGGCGGACGATATTTCCTTGACAGCACAGGGTGGTTCACCTTAAGTTGACCGCTGAATAAATTTTTGACTTCTGTTGTTTTTCAGATTTATATAGTGCGTGTTAAATTTAAGTCAGTCGCCGAGAAGATAGTTGAAAGGTAAGAAAGACTAGTACTCCACTAAACACATTTCCTATGGGTAGTCATGGATGCTACGGTTTCACGATGGCATATCCGAGTCTTCGGCTTTGTTTACGTACGGTTCATATCAGGATTGACATTGGATAAATTGGTGATGGTTTGCATTAGCACTACCACCCTTCGTTTTCTTTAGTGCTTCCAATAAAAAACTTCAGAAACATAAATAGCCTTAATTTTACAAATGGTTAGACTTAGGATATAATGTGTTGAGTGTAGTGAAGTAATCTCCAGAGTGTGTTCGATCTCAATCATAGCTACTTCATCCTACTTTCTTTAATAAATTATGAAAATTAAGATTGGAGATAAGGTATGTATGCCCAGGTCGGAATTACTGCCAACAATGAGATGACCCATTTTTGAAAGGCGACACTTGCGCGTATTTTGTTTTGAAAGGTGGAAAAACGTGAGAACGCGACAAATGTCTCTAAGGGACAGCTTGACGGAGCAAACAGATACGCCTGTCTACAAAAGTCCAATTCGCACGCCAACCCATAAACAGAAACGAGTTACCAAATTGTAAGTTTGGCTAACAAAATGAAAGGACGGTTCTGATTAGGAGTAACATATAACCAGATGCGGTTAGTGATTTCAGAAAATTCAAAATGTACTTGACAAAAAGTATACGCTTTTCACGGAGTACAGATAATTT